AGTGACAGTGGCCAACTGTCTACTTTTTCTTCTGCGACAACTAGATTCAACAAAAACTACCAGTGCAGAGAAAACTGACAGTGTCGTTCATTTCAAAACGTTTACTACTAATCAAATAAATTCTACAAATCTAGAAGACCTGTCACAGTAGACTGTATTATTGTATGGAACTAGATGAAGATCATTTTGAATACTTCACCCGTTGATTGTGTTGCCATTGATATAACTTTTGTTAACTTCCTCAATAAAATGAGCGACAGCGAATTTTCTATTTTTTTTTAATAAAACGTTCAACATTCAATTTTTCAATAACGAATGAACCAATTCCGAAAAAAATTATAGAAGTAATATAGGAACACGAACACTTTCGAATGATGTATCACTCAACCCCCATGCCATTGAAAAAAATAGGGGGGATTGTTGCTGACCGCAGGGGGGGTGAAGTTTCGGGCATGATTTCCATATCAGAATTAGTCCCCCTAGAAATAAAAATTGTCGTGTCCTCTGAAATATTCGATTAAGCGTCCGTTTCTCACTTACAGCGGGGATCAAGTTTTCTATGGAACGCCCTGTATAAAATAATGAATAATTGTTATTATAACAATTCTCTGTATGATAGCACTGGAACATATTTATTCCAAACATATCAAAGTAAAACTAAATACTATTTGACTTCTCCCCTGGATTGGTGTTGTAAATCTTACAACTCTATATCAAAATCAGTAGATATTGGCATATTTTCTAATTGACTCGCAAACTTCGCCACGTTTCTCAAACGTTCATATAATCATTTTCATGTCTAACTATTGTAATTTGCCCTGCACTGCATCGCATACGAGGGTTGCCTTTTATATTTCGGGATTAGACAACAAAAACAAATATTAATCATCGAAAATCACTTTATTGTTTTTCAAAATATCCCCCATGAAGATATATACACTTTTTCATGCGTTTGAACCAATTCTCGAAGCACTTTTGCCACTCTGCTTGAGGTATCTCCACAACATGCATTCTGAATGCAGCAACCGCTTCTTCAGGTGTCGAAAAACGTGGACCTCTCAGTTTGTTTTTTACGTGCGGGAATAAAAATGAGTCATTCAGTGCCAAGTCAGAACTATACGGCGGGTGACTCATTAAATCGATGTTTTGGGTGCTCAAAAATGCAGTTGTTTGAGCCGATGTGTGAGCATTGCCGTGGTGGAGAGTGATCCGTCTTTGACGGTTGGTTTTCCTGATTTCTTGGAAGACATCTGGCAAAAAAGTGATTGTTTACCACTCAGAATTGACTGTTCTGCGTTATTCTAGTGGTACGGCTGCGACATGTCCAGTTTTTTCGAAAAAACAGGCGACCATTTGCTTGGAAGTGCTTCGTGCGCGAACAACTTTTGTTGGGTTTGGCTCATCTTGAAACACCCCTACAGTCGACTTCTGTTTACTTTCGGGCTCATACGCGTAAATCCACGATTCATCACCTGTCACGATGTCATAGAGGTGTTTCGAAACACCGTGATCGTATTTTTTGAGTATTTCCTTCGATCAATCAACACGAGCCTTTTTTTGAGCGATTGACAAATTGTGTGGGATCCAACGCGAACAAATTTTTTTGACAGTCGAATTTTTATGTAATATTGAATGTATGCTAGTCCCACTAATGCCTAAGCGTGTCTCAATCCCACGATAGGTCACATGACGATCTTGCAATATCAGTTCGCGCACAGCATCAAAGATTTTCGGAACAAAACCTGATTTTGGATGACCTTCATAAAATTCGTCTTGGATTGAACTACGACCACTATTGAAATCATCATACCATTGATAAATACTGGTCCTTGATGGAGCTTCATCGCCAAGAATTGAATTAAGTTCATCCATGTACTGTTGCTGAGTTAATCCACGTCGAAAGTTGTAAAAAATATTCGCAGGAAAATGTTCACGAGATGAATCTTTTAAGTTACTGTAAACAACACAAATAGCACGCGTATGTCAAAACGTTCTGAGTACGTATAAGCTCAAAAATGTCCAACTTTACGATAGAGCCGTCAGTTAACAGATTGCAACACAAGGGTTGCCAAATCCCGAAACATAAGTAATACAATTAAATCATTTACTGTCATTTTCACCTCATCATTTGTGAATAGCCTCTCTGTGTTTGTCCCGTTTTGTATTCCAGTGGAAATAAATGAATAAATGAATGTCAGCTTCAAGAAGGATAGAGATATCTGGTGAGAAAATTGTAAATACTGATATTTTCATTTTCCTAATCTACCAATACTCGTGCTCAATTGTTCGACATAACTGCTCATGCAGGTTCTCACGGAATCGTCCCTAAATGAGGTAAATGAAAAAATTAATGGTGGAATAAGTGAATTGAAAATATTTCATGTATATTCTGCCAATCAACAATTATAATGAATAAGTTATCGTTTTTTTAAATTGTTAACATACCATTTTGAAAACTAGAGCCTTGACTTGAAATTTCCAAACAGAAATAACTGAAAAATTCATCTTGAACAAATGAAATGTTCGACAAAATTTCAAAGATATCAAATGCCATCTGAACAACAGTATACAGCTTGATATTTGGATCAACTGTCCTTATTGAAGGAAAAACACCGGTTTTTCACTGCAGTTGTGTTCTAAGTAAAATCTACAATTGTGGTTTTCACGTTCTCTAACTTCTGTCTCTTTTTTGAATCCATTTTGTCATATTCATGACATGACAAAGGGTATATTTTGCTGTTGAACGGATAAATTATTTGGTTATCGCCTTCAAATTTATTCATGAAATGAAAAAAATCACCTTCGGTTAACAATTTTTCCTGAACTGTTTCACCATTCTTCCCAATGAGTGAGAAAATCCAGTCTGCCATGACCACTGGACAAATCCATCATCAGTTCTATCGCTTTATTCAGCTCTTTTTTTAGCAAAATTCGCAAAATTCGCAAAAATTCATCAAACAATAATTGAAGATTTTTTCCACCTTCTGTCGATGAATTATCTCTGAAATATATGGAAATATGATCAGCAATAGAAAAATCAGGTTAGGTTAGGTCTGAAATGAGTGGGTCTATTCGACCCTCCACCGCAACCTGCAAGGGTTTATTGTGGCTCATACCTATTCACACTCGACCAAATAAACTCAGCTTCGTAACGAAGCTGGGTGAGTGGTCTTTCATATCGGATGGTAAAAGTACGGCTCTGCCAAACTCTAAAAATCTGATTCGGTCCTCATCGGGACAGTCACAGAGTATATGCTCTGCTGTTTCATCATTTCCCAAACAGAAAAAACACACACTCTCTTCCGACAGTCGGAGTCTCTGCATATGATGATTCAAGTGATCTGTGAGACCTGTAAGAAGGCCTGTTAGACATCGTAGTTCATGTCTACTGAAGTCCAACAACTGTTTGGTACCAAGCTTCGAATGGTTATAAACGCCTTGGAGTGAGCCAATCTTGAAAGATTCTTCCAGAAGTCCATAAATCTTCTTGCCGTCCAGGTGTTCAATTTCTGTTTGGCAAAGCCTAAAGCGATGCCAATGACAGGTTCTAGTCCAATGAAGTTGCTTGCAGCACCCTCCTTTGCAAGGGAGTCAGCAGCCTCATTGCCTTCCAGGCCAGTATGGCCAGAAATCCAGACAAGAGGCAAACTGTTAAGTCTTCCTATTGAGGAGAGTCGTTTTTGGCAATTTGCTACCAATTTAGACGTTGCTCGGTATGAGCCAAGAGCTTCCAACGCCGCTTGACTGTTCGAAACTATTTTTATTGACTTGTGTATGAGGTTGGGTTCTTCCAATTTCTCCGCACACAATTCAATAGCATTAATTTCCGAATGAAATGCAGTCACATAGGTTCCTAGGCAGGTAGATATCTCTGTCCTGGGTCTGCGACTAAAAACACCTTCACCAGAACCGGAAGGTGTTTTTGATCCATCTGTGAACCAACAACTATCTGCTCTTAATATTTCCTTCTCTAGGAGGATTCAGTCCTCTCTACTCAGGAACAGTACTTTATAAGGCAGTTCGTAGTTGACAGTTGGAGGCATAAAGTCAGAAGTCATTTCTAGAATGCTGTGACTTTGTGTCAACCAACAGTCTGTTGCACTCTGCATTAAATTGACTTGTGCAATTGAAAATGTGCAGAGTCTGTATGCAGTCCATCTAGGCTCTACAAGTACCTACAAGTACCTAGGTACCTACAAGTACCAGATTTTTTTTATTTTCTTGTGACTAGTCCGATAAATTTTTTGCTTGTATACGTTTGCTTGTATTCTCTTGTATGTATATGTAAATTCTTTAGTGATGAATAAATAAATTCTAAACTTGTGGTTCTTGTCTGAAACTTTATATCGGACAAACCGAGAACTATCTCCAAAAGAATAAAAGACCATAGAAGTTGTTTTTTCGACGGGAAGACCAATTCAACATTTGCAAACAACTTCTTGGAATAAGGAGTTCATTCACGATTATGATATATTGCATTTGGAAGAGAAAGGTTTCTAATTCAACCTTTTGTAATATTTAGAAATCAATAGATATGCAAATTCAGAGTTATTTCGCAATGAATACATATATTCAAGTTGTTTCACTTTATTAAGTTTAGCTTGCAACGAGGTAAAATTAGGTGAAATGATAGATTGTATTCATTTCATTAAATAATTGTTCTCCAAATTTATGAGTTGTTCCTTGAAATGTGAATAGTTTGGGTAATTATTCTATAATGTAGTAATTTGTCAGGTTGTAATGATCATAATGATTCGAATTACTATGAAAGCATGACACGGAATTGGTTCAAGCAGTATCGTGACGCCCGAAGCAAAACACGTGTCGCGTTTTTGTAAACTTTCAAGTGGAAATCTCAATTGAAGTGTGTTTATTGAAAACGATTTCCTGTTCAAATATACGTTCAAATTACTAGTACTTACCTTTTTTCGGTACAAGCAACATTGTGTGATTAACTTGTATTTTTCACTGTTTTCTGTCATACTATGACACATATTCCTCTACTTTATTATTTTTTCATAGTATTTATATCAGTCAATGTATCGAGAATTTTTGTATACACACATCAAACCATACACAATCACGAGTTTCTATTGGTTTCCATGTTTGTTAGCAAATTAGTAAATTGTTTTATGAATTGTCGAATCTGTATTCTCAAACTGGTAAACATTGTTATAAAGCCATCAGGAAACAAATTTGAGTTTAACTAAATGAAATATTTTTGCAAACTGAGCAACTCCCCATCTTCCTGATTTTTAATCACACAAATTATTGCAGGATGCGGCTGATTGTGATTTCACTAGTTTGGTGGTTTTACGGAACTTCAGTTGCGCCGATTTCTAGCCAAGACGACTGGAAATGTCCAGAGATAGCCGAACAACCGGTGGTGGAGTGCAGTTGCGACATGCCTCATACCTTGAGGTGTACCGGAGACAAATCTGCCATGGAGATAATCGGTGAGTTTTGAATTGATGTTGAATATAGAGCTAATTTAAATATTATCATATTATGTTGTTCCAAAAGTTTTGTCAGTTCAAATGCCATGCGTTTTTGTAGCTCTATAACTCAATAAATAGTTAATTGACTGTGTATGTACGGATCTATAGAGAGCTTTGTACTCTATACACTGATGCTATTCATTTTTTGTTTCCAAATTTTAGTTTTTTGCCTTATTTTAGTTTATAACTACAGGGTGTTTCAAATTCGATCCTCACCATTGGCATCTCGGAAACTATGAGAGATACGAAGATGGTTTGCTTGGAGACATCTCAGAAAAAGCGCTTTAAAATGTTACAAAATACACATATCTCATACACATATGGAGAGTAATCATCTCACAATATTTTTTTTACTTTCAGGTAGAAAATTACGAACTTTAAAAACAGCGTCTGTCTCCCTTCTAGACTGTACTATTCAAAACGTGACCATTATTTCTGGACCTCTGTTAGAAGGAGTTGCTCTTCATGGACTGGTAATCTCATCGGGAGAGATCAGAGAAATACATCCTACTGCCTTTCAAAGGTTTGGATCCCCATTGCAGGCACTGGGACTTCCAAACAATCAACTGGTCAATGTGCCTACGTCAGCACTTATTTCAATTCCGGAACTGGATAGGCTGGATCTTTCTGGAAACAAGATGAAGTCATTGAATCAAGATTCCTTTAGGGTAGGTGCATTCGTTGACATATACTGCGGTAATGATAATCTGGCAATTTTTTTCTCTATACTAGTTTGTTTTTGGTAATCAACATACCAAACAGAATTTAATTATTTCGAACAGAGAGGGCACAAACTTTTTCATCGTCTTTGCTGATTCATAAATCATGTCCATCGATTAATTCATTTGAATATAAGATATTTTGTTGTGGAGATCTGAACTATTTTTGTGATGAATTCGTCCATTATGCATTTGGAGTGCATAACGCGATATGTCGTAGGTAAATGATTTCATCAGAAATCAAACAATGATGATAAAATGAAACAATCAAAAACAGGATACAAGTCAGCTGTAGATGAGATATTCACTATTCTTCATGCTTTTGTGCCAAAACTCTCGTCACCGTAAATATATTTTTCAATTCATTTCTGTTCGGATAAAGAAGATCAAAGCATTTCGCCACCAAATATATTCTTCGCTCAGGAAAGTTTTACTTTATTAGAATTACATTTGTTCTTCCTCAATGTCCAACTGCAGAGTTGGAATCCCAGTGTTGACTTCTATTTCTTCTAGACATATCTTTGCGTCATTATCAAACTGTTGAAGAACCAGAGCTGTGTTATGATCATTAATGATGGCCTTTTTTTCATGCTTTGGTTTTTGAATGCACCATATTTCCCTAATATCCTGGATCAGGATAACACTGATTGTCCATTTGTTGTGCATGTTCATCCAATGAAGAATCAACTTGTTGAATGTATCAGACCATAATGTATAATTCATTCAAAACTAAAATAATAATGAATGAGAAGTCACCACAGTGTAACCAAAATGTTATCAAACTTACAAAAATTTGATATTCATTACAAAAGAATGATCAACTCTCCTAGATTTCGAAAAATTCAGTTCAGTAACTTTATTTTTTGTTCACAGGGTTTGAGGAATCTCTCATTCATAGATCTGAGCAACAATATCCTTTCCAAAATCACCCCAGACGCCTTCAATAACCTACCCCAACTGAAAACTCTTCGACTTCGAGGCAACAGGCTCTTTCTACCCACCATCACCAAAATCGATCCTCTTCCAACAATAGAAGAACTGGACCTATCAGAAAACAGTCTCAATGGACCCCTGGGACCCAAAACTTTCTCTATAATGGATTCCCTCAGAGACTTGCAACTTTCCCACAACACTCTGAGTAGTATCAGAATGGGAGCGCTGGAGGGGCTGGCGAATCTGACATCATTAAGACTTCAACACAACCAAATAGACGTTATAGAAGACCACGCGTTCAGTCATACAACGCAGCTAGTCATCTTAGATTTGGCCCACAACAGGATTGTTGCTGTGTCTGGATCATCGCTAGCACATCTGAACTACCTCACAGACCTGGATCTGCGACATAACTTCCTGCGAGCCCTCACAGCAGACTTGATATTACCTCTGAGGAGCCTCAAAAGCCTGCGGCTAGATGACAACGATATTTCAATCGTGTCCAGTGATGCTTTCAAACCTACCACTGTGCTAGAACATTTTACCTTATCTGACAACCCTCTCAACTGTGACTGCAGCTTGGGTGATTTCAATATGTGGCTGCGTAACTCCAGTCTTAGCGAAGATGATAAATCGAGTGCCGTATGTACAACTCCTCCTTCTTTAGAGAACGGTCTATTAGTGGAGGTGCCTCCTAATGACCTCCTCTGTGGCAATGATGAAGAAGACGCTATGATGGCACCTTTGGCAGCACCTTTCAGGGCGAAGATCAACCTTAAAGACTTCCGGTTTGACGGTACTGATGTCAAGCTACAGTGGAGTGTCGAAGACGAAGCTTCTCCATATACTTGCGACGCCATATTTGTCTATGAAGAAGAAGGTCCAAACGAGGTTTTGGTAGAGTCAAGTCCCATCAAGTGCAACTCTTCCGAAATGCTCGATCCTAAAATTCTAAATGTTACTGTTCCTCATGCTATTCAACTGCGCCAGCGACATATGTACAGGTATTGTGTCGTGTTGTTAGAGGCAGGTCAGTCAGACGATGTGGCTCTGATACTTGGCTGCTCTGATGTACTGCCTTTGATTCAGAATGTAAAAGTTCAACAGACTACCAACTACTCTGTGAAGCTCCCTAAAGTAATATCTATCGAGGCGAATCTTACCAGTAATGGAGTGCTTTCTATAAACATCAACGTCTACCCACAAACTCGTTGTGAGTTGAACGTTGCTGTCCTGCAGCAATCTGCTCTGCTATCTCAAAGGCAGCTCAGTTGCGATAGTCCCAAATATAATTTCATAGGGTTGAATGAGGGATCTTATAGAGTATGCGCCAATATTATGAAATCTGGACCTATTGTGGACTTCAACAAGTCCAGGTGTATTACTGTTTTCAGAAGGGAAGTTAGGGGGATCTCACAGTTGGATATGGTCTTCTTGTCGCTTTTCTTGGTGTTATGTTTGATTGTTATAGTTTTGGTATGGGGAGCGAGAAAGGTTTGGTCACGGTCTAAATATGAGACACAACGGTGTTTTATAGCTCCGGAGTGTGATGAAGAAGTGCAGCATCCCGGTTACACAAAGTTTCAACCGGCTAGCAAGCAGGCAACTACAGAGTTGTGAAGCGGAGGTGGAGTTTATTGTGCCATATATTTTTGTAATATTTTACGAAACAGAAAATTGAATTATGATGTTCGTTATCTTCATTTCAGTGTTGCCTAATGTTCATTGTGTTGAGATTGTAATTTTTTTCAGGTGAAAATGAATGATTCAATTTGGATTAAATAATTTTTGCTTGTAGAAATTTATAATATACAAGGTCATTCAGGGAGGCTACATTTTGAAGTATTGGAATATACAATATTTTCTTTTTAATTTGAATATACGAGTAATTTTGAAGTCAAATCTAAATATAGTTACTCAACAAGTCCTTTGAAAATAGAGAAATATATATCTCGGATGGAAAATGTTCAATATTCTCCATCCACTGATAATTCTGTCTTGATTCAACATTTCAACTTTTGTTTCAACATTGACTTCATAGTGAGCAATGATAAATTGTGCAGCAAGAAAATTCAAAGTAGAACTTCATGAATGATCTTGTTTGAGGGAGATTGTCTCAGTAGTTTGTTTGGATTTGAAAAGGAAAGAAGAAATCAATACTTTTTTTCAATGTGTCAGACCAAAGTATGGAATGAAATAATATTCCCAGAAGACAAATATCATGGATGAATGAAGTTTGCTATAGTTTCTGTAATAATGTGTTAAATATTTAGTTTCATAGCGAAATTCCAAAACAGCTCATTCTCAACGATTGCCGACAGGTTTTTAGTTTTCTATCGACACCTAGATGGTGCTACTATCAGGTTTGTTATTCAAGGACCGATTAGTATAACTATCCCAGAGGCAAGGAAGATAATAATTCAGGAACTTCATGAATACTCGTGGTCTTTTTTAGTGGAGAATATACTGAAGTGCTTTCAACGAAGGGGCTCTCGATTTCACTTCACAGATTATTTGGAGTTGACATTAGAGAAGAAATAAAGATATATGTTAATAAAACAAGTAAAGTAAAGTAAATCCAAGAAATGAAATTTGTGAAATGAGCAATTTTTTATCATATTCTGAATATTTATTTCTCAACGAAAATAGTTTGTTTGGGGAATTTGAGGAGTTCCTTATAATTTATAGCTGTATCAAACCTTTTCAAATCTGTGGGAAGTCTATTGATGCTTCTATTCATGTGATTATTTTGAGAAGTGCTTCAGTATAAATTTCAAGAACTGTACAAACTACGTATAAAAAATATTGTTTATCTATGCAACTAATATTATGTTTGTGATTCACTAAACAGATCTATGTGTGGGTGCTACTAAATTTAGATGTGTAGGCTTAGTTTCTCCAAAATCTACAATACTGTTGATGAGCGTCTATGCATTAATATCATGTATCAAATTACTTTTATCAAGCTTGTTGGAACTCGAACTCAAAGGCATTGAAACGATTCTTTTGGTGTCTGTAAGAGAAATATATTAAAAAATCCAAAGACTTTTATGAAAAAATGATAGATTCAAAATGAAGCTCCTTTATGTAGGAAAAGGTAATGATGGCTTTCAGTTTCCGAAAATTATTGGATACAAATAATGAATGAATGGGTATATTGAAGCTATATTCCGGGTTTTTTGATCGTGCCTAACGTTCTGCCCACTACTGCGGTGAAAATTATCAAAGACGATGAGGTAACGGGTGAAGCACTCGAATAGTTTCCTACGTAATTAGATTACCTGACCTCATACTTGTACAGTTGAAAACAGGTAGCCAGATTTCATTATTCATTGCCTCTTTCTTTCTATTGAAAGGAATAAAAACTCTAACCATCAGCCACAACAAAAGAGAGGAGCAACGAAGTAGAATTCAAGCAGGCCATACGACCCAGGAGAGAGAACAGCAAAGCAACCCCAGCTAGGAACGTTGAGGGAACAGCTTTACTTCCCCGTGTTAAAAATGTTACAGACCGGATCGGGATAATTTTAGAGAAACACGAGGTGAAACCAATATTTAGGCCAACGGAAACTATCAGACGAAGTATAAGGTAATCTAAGGAGCTCAGAGAACTTTTAGCAACACCACGTATGTACCGGATACCTTGTAGCTGCGGGTTGGTCTACATTGGAACCAAACGATATAGTGAAACCTACCTTCCAACAGTTCCCCTTTGATAATATAGTCACGGAGCTAACTAATTTCGTTATTCAATAATCTTTTATGATTATGTAAGAATCACAATAACTATATATATATATATAATTCATCTTTCCTCGAATTCGGTACTTTGATGAGCTGTCGCGAATGATTGGAAGCGTTGTCAAGAACTATTACTTCGCATCCAAATGTGGGATCAATGTCTTTCCAAAACATTTCTCGAAAATATTAGCTTCCATGTCCTTATGAAAGTTATAATCCTTCGTTTGCAGGCGATCCTCTGTTTGCAGGCATGTTAGGCGTACATATTCTCGAACTATCAGTCCACCCTTTCGTAACTGTGTCGTAAGTGTCATACCAAGTTTCGTCCAAATAGAAAATTTGCCGTTGTTCTTGGCTATACTCAGTTATTTCTTTCAAATATTTGTTACGTAATTCCACTATTCTTCTGCTTTCTATAACTGCTTGATGTTTGTTTATTATTTCAAATCTGAATTCTAGTTTCTTTATCCAATTCTGAAGAGTTTTGTGACAGCAGCTCACGTTATGACCGGAAGTATTCAATTTCTTCCTTATAATTTTAGTTGTAGAAATCTCATTGCTTTTGTAACAGTCGTATATTGTTTTTTCAATGATTTTATTATATGAACATCTGGAGGTTTTGATAATCCTGTATTCCATCGCGTCTTACATTCATTAGTTTCGTTTTTCACTATTTTACGTACAGTTGACAAAGGCATTTCGGTCAAATCCGATGTTGCTCGTAACAGTTTCTTTCACTCGAAACCAAATTTGAGATGTAGATTCTTATATACATTGAAACATACTCTCTGTGTTTCAGTATTCAAATGAATTCGAATCTCATTTACTTATATCCCTTTTTCGCATTGTTCACCATCGCTATTGGAATCACTACACTGGAAAAAGTCTGCGTTGCTATCACACTCGTTATTACTATTAGTACTTGTCCAAGGACGACACATTTCAAAGAGATAACAAAAATTTCAAGTAATTATAACTGCACCAATATCGAATTTCAACACTCAAATCGCGATAAGTTCCCTTTATAACTCTTCAGCCAATCATTAAACTCGGTTAGTAAAAATTATCCAATACAAATCGCCAATTCTACAGTCCACGTGGACTAGTTCATCTTTATGTATCAGTTTTTTTGGCCTTTAAGTGTGCCGATAATTTTGAGAGTACACAATATCGTTTACTTCGACTATACCCGTTTTCCTGAATACAAAAGAATTATGAAAATACAGATTTTCGATATTATTTCATATTTATCCAATTATATTAGAAGGTTACATTAACAGTAAGTAACTTGAATTTCTTTTTATACTGAAAAAAATTGCAAATCTCTATGAAAATTCTAATGACGTAACACAATGTATTAAAATTTTGTTTATAAAATTGAATATTTGGGGTACGCGCTAAAAATAATAAGAATTATTCAACGTTCACATCATTGCAATTTGAATACCATTTCATTGCTACCAAGAAAGTTCTTCGAGTTCTAGTCCCATAATATCAACCAATATGGAATGTAAATAGTCTACGTTATTTTTGTGAAATATCAGAGTATCTGGCAAGAATAAGCAAGACTGCAAAATGTGTACGAGATATAAAAGACTGTTCCAGTAATTCAATAGCTTCTGGACAAGATGGATCGCAGAAATAATATCAGCACTTGACTCAACAGATCTCACATCTTGCATCATTCATGATGCAATTATAGTAACAATTTCTCTATAATAAATGTGTATAAATCTGTTTCTTCACAATTACTAGTTACCTGTTGATAGTTGTTATTAACTCAGCACCAAATGAGATGTAGATTATTTCTGTGAATAGTCACCAGTTCACAATATTCACAAAAAATTGATTACCCAGTTTTTCAGCTGATATCATATTTGAGTTACTTTTTATTGTGACAGTTTTCCTAAACAGATTACAAAACCGCAACACGTGTTTTCCTATATTACCTTCAACTAACTAAACTTTTCATATAAATGAATAATTTGTATTTCATGACTTGTCTCACCTACTGAATAAATGATGATTTTATCCAAGTGCATGTTTACACGAATTACCAATTTAAACATCTGGAAAAACATTTTTCAAAAAAATCATTAAATGATTAGCAATTTCAACATGAGAAACCGCATTTATTTTATCATTCAGTAAATATTTCGAAATCGAAATATAATTATTTCCAATATTTTGAAAGGTTTAGTTTCTTTTTTCTCACACATGTAGCACGTCATAGTCATGATGAAACTCATGCACCTCTATCAGAAGATGATGTCGATGTGGAATTAGTCTTCATGATCAAGAAACCACTCTCATGTTATGTTATTCTCTGAAAGAAGCTTATCTCCGTTTGGCTTATGTAATGTTTTGACAAGAACCAGTCATGCATTCAACTTATATCTGATACTGAAGTTTTCTCTCCATTGTTTCTGATGAATTTGCTCAAATCCTTATTTGTTACCTGAACCACGTCCAAGTCTTTCATTAAAAAAGTTTCATCTTTATTGTTTACTTAAATGATAACTTGTTCTGTGAGTCAAATTTGTGTTTTTATAATTCCAAAAAAAAAGGAAAAGAAAAATAATGTATGAGATGAAACTTCAGTATCAGATAGATCAGGATTTTATCAAATGGTGAGAACCTTTTCCAAAGAAAAAAATATCATAGGAGTAGTTCTTTCAATGGGAACACGAATTACACATTTACAAATAATTTTTTTCGTAGAAAAACATGAGTAAAATCACGACTATGAAGTGTTTTATTACTTACTTTCACTCAAATGTATTTTTCATGAAATTTATTTTCTATTGTTTGATTGATGACCTATTCATTTTGTAGAAATTCATACTGAATATAGAATATAAAAAAAACTTAGTACAAATTAGACGAAAGAAGTTATTTTCTTCATCTTATATCTACTTGATACATAATCAATTCACAAAGAGCACTAGCTTGGTAGAATTTAGTTAGTGTGAACATACCTGGAGCACCTACTGTTCAGTAGAACACGTGTTAGGGTTTTGTAAACTTCAAGTGAAAATCTGTCAAAAAAGTGTTTCATGAACATGTTCTCATAGATTTTCTTCAGGTATCGGCCAATTACATTCAGCGAAAAAGTGCTTTGATGTATGATTTTTTCTCTCATTTCATATTTGATATTTCATTTGTTTTGAATGGAGTTAACAAATTCGAAATGAATTCAATGTGATTTTTGTGAAAACAGTAATGAATTTAATAATAATTTATGGTGTCTTTACAACTTCATTCCATTATATTTTCAACATGGTATGACTTGCTACTCGATTCAAAACATTATTGAAATTGTTGAAAAACAAAAGCAGATGAAGTTTCGTTCCTTGATAAACTTTTTTGCAGTTTTCCTTAAACGTGACGTAGATATTACATTCATTTTTTCCTATTAATACGACTGACTTTAAGATGTAAATATCTTCGTTTTTTTTACTAATGCTTGTTTTTGTTATGAAACTGTTGTTAACATACTCAAGTGGTTCTGTGTGGAAATAAAATATCGCTTAGATTTTGTAGTACTATTTTTTCACATGAATCCCCGAACAGTTTGGTCAAAAGATGAATTTGAAATAGAAATCCTTATTATGACTCGCCCAAGTAACACTTGGGTGAGTCATAACGCCCAACATAACGCCCAAGTAACACTTAACACGCACTCGGAAAAGGGGAATGATTCAATTCTATTGGGTCATCCAGCGAATTTTCTGAATAGTTCAGTCTAATAATTTAATAATAATACCAACAGGGACGCCATGAACTTTCGACTTTGGAGTGTCTACATGACAGAATGGTACTGGATACCGTCTGTCAAGTCGTCAGGAGTTCGGATCTCCTTCTCTGCATGGTCCGTGATCACAACTCTTGTCACCGAGTTGAAACCCGTTCAGCAAAAAGCTCATATAAATGCCGCAGAGATAACTTCACTTCTGCGGAAACACAAGGATGAGCCAATGCATGGGGTATTCTTCAATAACTTTGGAGACCTTGGCTTATCAAAGCGCCTGACTTTTGCTTTCCTCTGGTCGAGTGGGCTGAAGTCGTAAACGGGGGGGTTCATCATGGCTTGCCTGGATGGTGTCTTCAACACCTCAGTCTACCGCAGTCGCGTGATGGGTACAGAGGTTCCTGACACAAGGTGCAGGGCCTGCCGCGAGATGCCCGAGACCCTAATTCACTTGCTATCATCATGTCCAGTATATGCGGTCTCAGCCTATATCCATCGGCATAACGCGACCCTTAGAGCGCTATTTTATCATCTAGAGCACTCTTACGGTATTGTCGAGACACCGGTGTTGCCCTACGGTCCGGGGATGTGCCGAATTTATTGGAACTATTATTTCCTCACCCTCAGGCTCATACAAGCTAATAAGCCTGATGTAGTCCTTCCCGACCACCAGGGCAAGACCAGGGCAAGACGATATTTGTCGTAGAGTTTTCAGCTAGCGAGAAGAATATCGTCCGAGAAGAGGAGGACAAATGGATAAAATATCGAGATTTTCTCTTCGAACTCCGCAGACTCTATCCAGACCACTCTGTCAAGATGGTTGTTCTGATTATTGGAGTCTATAGTGGAATGCTCTGCTCTCAAATCTTAAAATCATACCGGCCTGCCGCACTACGGCAGAAATGTTAGCCGGACAGATGCAGAAGGCTGTCATTCTTGGCTCAATTATTAGATGCAAACCAAGGATTCTACCAAATAAAATTGTGCATGAATCCAGCAAAAGGTTATGCACTTTTGCAACACATTTTGGGAGACACATGATCTCCAGGCTCCCGTTTGGGATTTCATCTGCACCGGAAGTGTTCCAAAAGCAATTTAAACAAATTTTTGAAGGGCTCGAAAAAATGGTTTAGGTGCAGTTCTGCTGCAAGACAATTTACCGGTGATTTATGCCTCCAGGGTTACTGACAGAAACAGAGAAGAATTACGCTCAGATAGAAAAAGAACTTCTTGCAGTTCTGTTTGGGTGTACTCGTTTCCATCAGTATATCTATGGCAAAAAAGT